AAGAGGGATAATAGGTACAATCACTGCATCCGAAAACGAAAGTAGATGTACGAAGTAAATCGCGAGTGAAGAAAAAATCAAGAAATCGGAAATGCTGCCATTGCTGAACTTATTGTTTGGAAAACTTGATGAGTTTGAGACAAAGAGATAGGCATGCTCGCGAGCCATTGAGCGCGAGGTAAGAACGATAGACAGCGATGCAATGAGAGAGCCGCAGTCATTTCGTCATCCTGACGAGCCTTGGGAGCGTCAACCTGCGTCTGAGGTGATAGGGCACTGAGGCTCTTGTGAAAAACTGCTCAAACTGAGAAAATGGCATAATCCTTCCTCCTGTGTCGCGCTAGTTAATCCGCGGTAGGGATGTGCCACTGATCCAATTGCGGAATTCGCGTGAAAAATTAGACAAATAGTCTAGCCATTCAGAAGAATGCTACTCGTTACTCAATTTTCACATGCAGTGAAATTTTCTCTTTAGATCAAACGAACATTCGCTAGTGCGCTGGTGCTCTTGCATCGTTGTGGATTCGTGTCCTACAATTCTTTGTGCAAAGAATCTCTCTGGAAGGAAGTAAGTATGATTTTATACTTTTAAACATTCTTACCTATACTTCTTCAGTTACTGTTTGATGTAAAGGTGCCTTGCAACGTAATCGTGTACATGTTTCACGCTGTTCTCAGTTCGTTCAAAAAAATGTTTGCAGCTAAATTTCGTATTTGGAAAGAAATACGAAACGCCGCGATTGATCAAATATCCTACTCTCCATGAGATCATTATGTTTGTGTAAGTTGCTCTCCTTCAAAGCATTTTATAGAGACTGTGACACCGTGTGGAGAAGCAGATTAATTGCTGTTTTGCAGGCGCTCTGTGGATTACCACTATCCCTCGATGATCCTTCGATTGATGGACGTCACGCAAGGCATATTCTTTTGACTCACTTCACTCTCAGGTTGGCCCACTTCTGAAAGTTTTCCCAAGCTTTTATAAATCGGCTCAGGTATAAATAGCTATAGAAAGTATTTTTTAGGTCAAGGATACGTGCCAGAAGAAGTTGAGTGCAATGGGTGACTCTTATGAAATGAATCGGTAAGTTGTTAAGTGAAGAAAGAATCTAGTCTATTGAGAGGGGCGGCTCCTCAAATTCAGTGATCATTTTTTCGAGCTAGTGAAGGAGTGCGCGATAGGACAATTTTCGGTTGCTTGTGAGATCTTGTGCCTTCATACCTCTGCTGTTGCAGAGTTTCTCATGAAGCTGAACTTTCGTTGAAAAGTGGAACAAACAGGCCAAAAGACAAACGTGCAGCTGGAAGTTTTGAGGTAGTTTTCCTTTCCTTCTTATTCTTGTGTGTTGGCTTATTGAAAGTGAATGATAAGATCACTTTGGATGCTCGTAACTGGTTGTGTGGTAAATACACAAATCGCGCTATTCGACATCATGGCAGACCCATTTTCCCACTCCAGCGGGTCCACCGGAGGCTTGGTAAATTTTCTGGTTCAGTACGACTCCCTGCAGGTTACCCGTGAAGCCCGTTTCTCCCGTTTGTCTGGAGACCAAGAGGTGTGCTGCTGAGAAATGTTGCGAAAAGTGCGGAACGTATCGTAGTAATAAATCGTGCAGTGCGATGGAGCACTTCGTGAGGGAGGAAGAAAGGGGAAGGCATGAACCTGCTGCATCCAAGCAGCTTTCTCATGATTTCTCATTCTGGATAAATCTAGGTATATCTGGAATCTGCAAAATTCTTGCTTTCCGACATTTTTAGGGTTACCTTGAATTTATGCAGCTTTAAACGTTTCAAATGGACATGAACACAACAAATTTAAGTGTAAAAGTACAGAATTTGCAATAAGATTCTAGGTGGAAGCAATTCGATTTCTGAACTGTTTGAGTTGTTGGTAAATTTGTTTATGGCGCACGGGTTCTCAACCATCGACGGTCGCGACTTTTTTTTCAAAATTGCTTTTATGTAAGAAGCGCTCACAGAAAACCATAAGACATGAGTTCGAGTAAAAATAAAACTTCGTTGAAAGGTTGGTCGTTCAAAAATCGTCCGGTAGTAATTTTTTGGGGGCTGTGTGTCCATCTTCTTAAGGATGTGAGTTTTTTTTGCTATTGAACGAACCATAACCTTTTCAAAGTTGCGTTTGTACTTTCATTCCCCTAGCCGATAGTCTGGGGTTTTGGAGAGGAAATGGGGGGGGGGGAGTTGAAGTGGGTCGAGTGGATTGAAGATGACGTCGGGGAATGGGATATGTCAAGTCTTTGTAATTCTGCTCTGCCTCATACTCTACCCATTCCAAACTTGACCCGCCCTCCCTAGGTGATTTTTGAAGGAAGAATTATAAACATGTGGGGGACACTTGCGAATTTTTGGGGAGCGGTCAGACAAACAAACTCTGGTTTATATAATAGTATGATGTGGTTTTTTGGAACTCAAATGTCAAGAACTTCTTCCTAAATCATTTTTTTGAATCGCCGAGCTACCTGGAAGCCAGCGCCTCCAATCAGTGATAGTGTTTTTTTAGAAGTTTTTAGCTCACAATGATGTTATAAAAATTCGTAAAAAATTTGAAAAAAAAATTGTGAAACTTCTTTTGAGTATAGGGAATTCGCTCCTACCTTACCGTTGCACTTCCTCACCCTACAGTTTGGTCTAGTATATTAGGACCCTGAAAAAACGCGTAGTAAATTGAAATACAAGAGCCCAAAATCCGTGCTCTTGCGCCGCGCACTCGTCCTTTGCTAAGTCGCAGGGACATCTTCTCGTTGTCTACTCCTTTTCATTAGCTTGTGAAAATCAGCTATTGTGATCCTCAGTAGTGCTGCGTTGGAGACATGATCCTATATTTTTGACCATAGCTAAACTTTTCATCTCGTTCCTCAATTCGCTGCAGTCTTTTTCTTTGTCAAGATAATGCATATACATGGAGGCAGAAAATGGAATGGCGATCGGCACTTATCGGAGGCCTCTGGTTTTCGCACTCACTTAGGTTCCCTGCAGCAATACTACACATACCAAATTCCGTGAACCAAACACGACCCCCTTTCTAGAGAAGATGACTGGTTCTTTTTCCTATCTCATGGGTAACGTAACCATGTCCATTGTCAAGATAATGCATACACATGGAGGCAGAAAGTGGAATGGCGATCTGCACTTATCGGAGGCCTCTGGTTTTCGCACTCACTTAGGTTCCCTGCAGCATACTACACATACCAAATTCCGTGAACCAAACACGACCCCCCTTTCTAGAGAAGATGACTGGTTCTTTTTCCTATCTCATGGGTAACGTAATCATGTCTATCTCTTCAGAGCATTAAGCTCTAATGACGGAGCAACTTGCTCTAAGTATTCGAATTTTTGAATCCTACTTTATCGATGAGGTTTAGATACTGGACGAGTATCCTGAGAGAAATGAGCTTGTCGATGGATTGCCCAGCAGAAAGTTTTACTCTGCTGTGTTCAAGGAGCATAAGGTGCTTTCCGAACACGTTCCTGATAACATTCATGTCCATGCGTTCGCTAACAGGTGGGAAACTTCTTTTCTGTAACCGAGAATCATTTGGCATTGATTCCAACGGAAATCTTATTAAGGTTGAACGTTTTGCACGTTCTCATAATTGGACCTGTTGGAACTCCTTTTGATACTACTCCCTTCTTCTTCAAGTTCAAGCTTCCCGCTGACTATCCACAAAAACCGCCTGAGGTGCGTTTCATGGTTGAAGTGGCTTATAATTACAGATCGATAGAGTTTTAGAATGAAAGATTTAGAATAAGAAAATTGGACGTGAAAGTTATTTACTATTAGGTAACATACGTGGCCTACTCACAAGAACAACTCAATCCGAATCTCTACCAAAATGGAAAGGTGTGCACAAGTCCTTCTCGGCACGTGGTCCGGCCAGGGTGTTGAAACATGGAATCCTGCAAAATCGAATATTCTCCAAGTGTTGCTTTCAATACAAGGTCAGGATTAAGTTACCCTCATGCATGCTATTATGAGTGGACTCTTGCAAATTCCCGTTTTCAGCATTAATCTTGGTACCGGAACCATATTTCAATGAAGCTGGATATGAATCACGCAAGCAGCAGTCGGAAATGTCCGATCGGTCTCGTCGCTATAATGAAACCGCAGCCATCAATTCCTTGGAGTACCTTCTCAAGGTATGCCTGCCTTTCTATTGTCGTGCTGTTTTAAAAAATATACATTGGAAGTTTCCATATCTAAACAAGGAAAAAAAGCTCGCGATACCTCGAAAACAGCATGTAATTGGCGCATGAAAGGTATCCTGTAAATCTTCCTCAAAGTCAAGTTGCAGTGGGTTACTGTGTAAGAGTAAAGTTGCATTGCCTTATTTGCTGTCTGTGTATGTGCCCTTAGTATACTCGCGCGAAACGACCAATATTCAGCAATACACTAGCCTTGAGTGTTTTTAGCGGTCTCGTTATTGTGACGCACTTCCTTTGATGGTAAGTTCTGTTGCGCCTCTATTTACTTTTTCCTGGTCTCTGGACAATCTCGGGAACGACTTGTAAGTTGATTGGGAAATCCCGTTCACCTCGGTGCATACCCGCTCACCATTAACATTTGAACTCCCCCCCCCCGCCCTTTGCCAACATCTGTTCACTTTTTTCCGGTATTGGAACTGTATCAGAACCCATTTGTAAGTTTGGTGAGTGGGAAATATCGCCCATTTCGGTGCATGCCCCTCCCCTCGATCTTTGTTTCCTCGCCAGCCTCACTTCTTTCTGATCTCATGCACATCTCGTACCGATTTACAAGGTTCCGTGGCAAACACCGCCCCATCGCACATTCCATCCACCACTGGTACCTGACTGCCCCTCTTTCGCCGCCTCTATACATTTTTTCCGGTCTTCAGCTTACCTCGGAGATGCACGCTTCGCCCACCGTTAGCACTTGTGTCGCCAACGGGGTTTGTTGGTAGCATGTAGCCCAGTTACTGCAGATGGCTCGGATTAATTCTTGTCGTGACAATTCTACTCTGTCATTCTTTGTGTTCGATCAATTGCCACGAGTTTAGCTTGTGGAGGGGGGAGGGGAATGAAAGCGCAAGATGTTTT